GAGAGGTGGTATATGAATGGTGCCTGGCACATAGCACACACTCAAAGTGGTAGCCCCTCTTTCCCTCCCCAGCCTCCCTCAGACTCCCTTTCCTCCTGAACCGTGGGGAAGCTTCTGGGAACATCAGTAGGAACAGTCTTGTGTGTCTGGGGTTTTCTGCAGCATTGGGGTTTTCCTTGCCAATTCTGGTGGTATCTGAGGCAATCATCTTTAGAAGCCCTGGAACATGGGGTGCCTGGGTGGCTCAGTCAGTTAAGCATCTGACTTCAGCTTAGGTCATGATCTCACGGCTCGTGAGTTTGAGTCCCGCGTCAGAGACATAGCCTGGAGCCTGCTTCGGATTCTGTGTTTCCTCTCTCTCTGCCCCTCCCCTGCACTCACTCTCTGTCTCTCTCTCTTTCAAAAATTAACATTAAAAAATTTAAACAAAAAAATCTTTAGAAGCTCTGGAACAAGAACAGTCACTGCCCCTCACTGTGGCTTTACACTTTGCGTGCGGCTTTTGGGCACATGAGCCCTGGAGGCCCGCACAGCACCTCCAGGGCCAGACGTGCCCAGTGCCTCCCTTCATTCTGTGGCTGGCTCACACAGAGGTGGCTCAGTGAGAGCTCAGGGCTCCAGTGCGGCTCACCCTTGGGAACCATTGTTTGATTCCCTCCTCCTGTCCACTTCTCAAGTGCAGGTCACGTCCCCCAAAGGTGCCAAGTATGCCACTGGAAACAGGACCTGCCCTGCACATTACACACATTAGACTTCTTGGGGTCAGGGGCCAGGACTATACCTTGTGCAGATTCTTGGACTAAAGACTGGCTTTTAAAATGTTTGTGATTATATCAAGGTGAAAAAATGTAAGTAACCGAAGGAAGCCGTAATTTTACACGAGTGCACATGTGCACTGCATACTGACATCTTTCTAAGTGGTGGGTGAGAATGGGTTTTATTATCTAAGGTGCTTTTGTTTCATTTTATGTTGGCATTTACAAAAGGTTTTCTACAGTGAAGTATCACTCTTGTTATCAAGAAAACAGTTTTAAAGATAAACATTGTTTGGGGCGCCTGGGTGGCTCAGTCAGTTAAGCATCTGACTTTGGCTCAGGTCATAATCTCACGGTTCATGAGTTAGGGTCCCGCGCTGGGCTCTGTGCTGACAGCTTGGAGCCTGCTTCAGATTCTGTGTCTCCCTCTCTCTCTGCCCCTCTCCTCCTTGCCCTCTTCTCTCTCTCTCTTTCTCAAAAATAAACCTTTTTTATATATAAATAAATATAGTTTTAGTGATTGTGATAGTCGACTGGCATTGAGCTCCTTTGGCACCTCACGGCCCTGGGCCAAGTCAGGAAGGTGGGATTGTGGAGGGCCAGAGCCCGAGTTCTACCTCAGATGCCCGTTCTCATCCTGGTCTCTGACTGCAGACAGCTGCCACCACTGTGACAGTGGCAGGGAGCTTCCCCATTGCCTGGGCTCTTTGGCTTCTTAGTGAGCTGGGTGACACAGGGAGGGTTTACACTGGCAGCTGCTCCAGCCTCATCTCTGGGAAATCCAGGAGGGTGTTGTCCACAGTAACACATAAAATCCTCTGCAAAAGCAGCCACAGAAGAAAAGTAACCCTGTGACCATAGACTCGGGCAGAGCTGAGCCTGTCCTGCATGTGCAGAGCAAGTGCATTTATATGTACTGGCCTGTGTGCACCCTTGCACAGACTGTGCTAGGAGGCACAGAGCTCCATTTACCACTCTGCTTCAGCACATGTCCTAATGTGTGTCGTCATATACCAAGCAGACACCCAACCTCTTTGCTCTTTTCCACCCCATCCTTATTTTCCTTTGCCCTCACCCCACCTTCCTTTCATACTGCCTGTCTCAGTCTCCCTCTGTTCCTCTCTTCCCCCCCTCCCCGCCCTCCCCTTCTCTGCCTGTCTCTCTCACACACACGTCTTTCCCATTTTCACTCCCTCTTTATGGTATCTATTTTTATGAAGACTCCTTGAGTCATTTATGAGATGAAGTAAAATATCCATGAATTCAGGCTAAAGGAGATCCCGGCACTGGGTCTCCTCCTTACCAGTCACTTGTGGAGAGTAGTGTTCCTGAAGACAGACCCAGAGTTCCAGTAGTGTGTACCTATTGACCTGACACCTTACTACAAAGAATGTTAGCAGATTTCGAGCTTTAGTGTCATTTGTATTTTGAAGAGCTGCCCAATGACCCTTTCAAGACCCTTATGTTTTGCTTTTCTGAGAGGTCTTTTGTCTCTAAACAGTGTGTCTCATGTGTAATACAAGCCTGTGTCTCAGCCTGTGCCCACCAGAATCACCTGAAGGGCATGGGTACTCGATATCAATTCTGTCTCAGTAAACCTGACTTTTGAAGAAATCACCTGGAGAGCTTGTCACACAGATTCCTGGGCACAGTCCCCGAGACCCTAATTCAGTAGGTCTAGGCTGGGACCTGTGAACTTGACTTTCTGATGAGCTCCAGGGGATGTAAAGCTGCTGGTCCCCAGACCACATATGAAGAGCCCAACTCTGAGCCCTCACGGAGGACTCCCACTAGCCACTTGGAGGTAGCCTTCTAAATGGCATTTTGTGAAGCTTATCAAAAGCCTTTTTCAGGGTCTACATCACATTAGATCCACTAGCCCCTCATCATTCTGTATTTGCTCCTTGGCAAGTTTAATGAACACAGAGAAGCCAGTTACGGGAACTGCAGCAGTCCTTCCAGCCTCAACATCCCCGTGTCCACGGTCAGTGAGTGACCAAGCGCATTCATCAACCACCCGGGCCTGGGACTCCCAGGTAACTGTAACCAGCAGAGGAGCACATGTCCTGGAGGCTGCTGCTGGACAGGGACAGCAAGGCCGCCAGCAGCTCTGGGTCGACAGCTCCACCTGGCTTTGGGCATCTCTGCCTGTCCTCACACGGAAAAGTACATAAGGACACTTGGACTGTTAGTTACACTACTCTGGATTTATGGCAGGAGGGAAAGATGATATACAATAATGGTCTTACCACATGTGGAGGTTCATTAGCATCTCGGGACTATCAGTGACCATGATAGAAGGGCTGTCAACTGTGAGGTATGTACCAGACAATTGGTTGAGTGCGGTCCTGAACAACTTTGGCCTCGTGTGCCCTCAGAGCCACCCAGGAGGCAGGTGGACTCCCTGTGGCAGAAGCAGGTTAGAAAAGCTCAAGTAGTCCCTCATCCAGGTGGCAGTGCAGGATTCGAACCCCTCTCTGCGTAAGCCCATGTTCTTAGCCACTAAGCATTCTCTCACTTTCTGCATCAAGGAATCTGTTGAATTTTCAAAAATTTTCAAAAGCCTCTGCTTTTTCCACTGGATTTATGAGATTTCCAAATATGATACTTCTGGAAGCAAGTCGTGGAGAGATAGCAATGTGGTTTTAATATGTAGTGGTAGTCTAAAACCCCACAATAAGAAATGATCTGCGTTTTCTCAAAGAGCAAGAGTTCATATTTTTTTTCCAAAAAAATAAGCAGGAGGGGTGCCTGGGTGGCTCATTCAGTTAAGTGTCTGACTCTTGATTTTGCCTCAGGTCATGATCTTGTGGTTCGTGAGACTGAGCCCCACATTGGGCTCTGTGTTGAGTGTGGATCCTGCTTGGGATTCTCTCTCTCACTCTCTCTGTGCCTCCCCCACTTGCCGCCCCCCCCATCTCTAACTCAAAAAATAAACATTAAAAAATATATATAGGATGGGGCGCCTGGGTGGCTTAGTCGGTTAAGCGTCCAACTTTCGCTTAGGTCATGATCTCGCGGTTCGTGGGTTCGAGCCCCGCGTCGGGCTCTGTGCTGACTGCCAGCTCAGAGCCTGGAGCCTGTTTCAGTCTGTGACTCCCTCTCTCTCTGACCCTCCCCTGCTCACGCTGTCTCTCTGTCTCTCCTAGAAATAAATAAAAAAAACATTTTAAAAAATTTAAAAAATATATATATATAGGGGGAAGACCCACTCCCCAAAACACAAACATCAGAGGACCTTTTGAAAAAAGCAGTGGCAACTGCATCTGTCATGCCACCTACTGTGTCTCCAGTGTTATTTGGACAAAACAAGGCTATTGGAGTCTAATAAAGTAAATCCATAGTGATGTCCTCTGGGATGGTGATGTCACTCTGGTCAGTGGCTGGCTGTTTTTATTCCTATCTGACAGCCAAGGAAGGAAAACCACGAGAGGTTTGGTGACACCCCAAGCTCTTGTGAGCTACAGAGGCCAGAGCTGCGAGTGGCACCAGTCCCTGCCCCCGACTCCTTGCCTTTCCCGCCCGCTCCCAGCTTTCACAATACTACCTGTGCTGCTCCCAGATGGACCTTCTGGGCTTTAAGTCATCTTTGTGGCAGGATCACTCCCAATCCCCCTGCCCCAGAGAAGCTCTTACTACCATTTTTGTGTATAGCTTTCCCAAAGTTCTTTGTTTCTAAGTTTCTATTTGTTTAAGTAGGATCTTACTATACAGACCACATTGGAAATGTACCTAATTGCACTTACAATAATATAGCACAAACATCTTTTTGTATCATGAACTACTCTTCCTCAGCATCAATTTAATGGTTATTTAGAACTCCTCTGTTACTACGTTCTGGTTTCTTGCATTTAAAACAGAGGTTTAAAAAGCTATCTTAAAAGAATGATCACTGTCGCTTTGCAAAACTAAAATTAGGTCACATGGGTAATAAATAGGCTTTAAATGGTCTGGTAGCTAAAATTGCTCTGGTATCTCTGAATTACACTGAATCTTTTGGAGAGATTGTTTTGTTTTCTACGAAGGTAAATAAATAATAAAGCCCTGCTGGACAGCACATGATGCAGGTGCCTCCAGTCCTGGACTAGCTGTTACAAAGTGAAGGAGAGCTGACCAGGAAATGCTGGGAGGGTCCAGAAATCCCAGTCATTAGAGGGCTCCTCTGCTTCTTGATCAGTGAGATAGGGGCCTGTGGGTGTATCTTGCTCATCTGGGATCTGAGCCATCTGTCTTTTCTCTCCGCAGCAGACCCCCCTGTGGCCGCAGCTGTGGTATCCCATTTTAACGAGTGCCCGGATTCCCACAGTCAGTTCTGCTTCCATGGAACCTGCAGGTTTTTGGTGCAGGAAGACAAGCCAGCGTGTGTGTAAGTGCTCCCTGGGGTCTGGGGTCCTGGGACCGGAGGCATCCCAGCAACCAATTAAAAGGATATTAACCTCCATAAGATATGCCTGAAACCCCTAAGGCTGGGCATGTTGGAGGATCATAAAGCAGGCTGGTTAGGGTGCCTGGGTGGCTCAGTGGGTTAAGTGTCCCACTCTTGATTTCAGCTCAAGTCATGATCTCATGGTTTGTGGGATCGAGCCCTGAGTTGGGCTCTGTGCTAACAGTGTGGTGCCTGCCTGGGATTCTCTCTCTGCCTCTTTCTCTTTTGCTCACTCACTCTCTCTCTCTCTGCCCCTCCCCTCTCAATAAATAAATAAACATTAAAAAAAAAAAAACAGATTAAAAATACAGGTTCCAAGCCCCAGCCCAAGCCACTGAGGCCAGGGGCTGGAGCCTGGAGATCTGCATTTTCAGTAAGCATCTCAGGTCACTCCTGGGTTCAGCAAAGTCTGAAAATTCCTAGATTCAAGTTTAATTCACCAGTTAGAATTTCTGGAATGAAAGGGACTGGGTTGGCTCCCTCTGAGTAGTCAGAGTCTCCAAAAAGAGGTCCTTGCCCTCCAGCATTTTTACAGCACAGCTAATCAAATAAGCTGGAAGTGCCTGCAAATGGTTAGTGTACATAAGCGGTAACAGAACAAAAGCAGCTTGGAAATAAAGATGCCACCAGGGCACAGCGGTTTCCACACCAGGCAAGTATGAGCCCCCTGGGGCTTCTTAAAGTGTGGCTGAGCCCCACCCCAACCCACTGAATCGTAATCTCTAGGAATGGGACCCAGGAGTCACATTAGCTAAGAGCCCCCAGGGATCGCCATGGTCAGCCAGCCTAGGCGGAAAGGCACTTCAGGAAAACTCTGCAGAGCAGGTGTTAGGGTTTGCCTAGTGGGGAAAGCAGAGAGGTTATTCCAGGCCCCAAGTGTCGAAGGACCTGCACTTATAGGTTATCTTTTGTGGCAACAGCAGGAGAAAACAAGATTGGAGACAGATTGGAGACCAGAGCCCATTGGAAGTGAGCCTTTATTCTCTAGGCAGTGGGAGCCATCTTGGTTTTGGAAAGGGATGTTTTAAGAAAATTAATCTGCGCATAGTAGACTCCTACTAAGTCGCCCTGTACTCACCCATGGCACTATTGACATTTGGGGCTGGATAAGTCTTCGCTGTTGGAGTTTTCTTGTAGCAGCATCCCTGGCCTCTACCCACTAGGTGCCAGTAGCACCATCTCCAGATTGCCACATGTCTCCTAGGAGGTGGGAGGGAAACTCACCTCCCATTAAAAACCACCCATCTACACAAAGTTGCCATTTTTATTGGTCACAAATGTTGGAAAGGCAGCAATTCCATATGGTCCAAGTTAATAGTACTGGCAAGTAATAGTAAATGTTAACAAAAGCTGGCATTTATTGAGCTTTTGCTTCATGCCAGACATTGTTCCAGGCATGCCCCATATGCTAACTCACGTCATCCTCATAATGACCCCATGAGTTAGGCACAGAGAGGTTGTGCCCAGATCGTGTAGCAGAGCTCACATTCAAACTCCTGAAGCTGAGCTCTTAACCATGATGCTAAGTGTATCTGATGCTAAGGCCCAGGAGACATTGTGGAGCTGCCACAGTAAAGAGAGGTGGGCCAGGCATTCCTCTTTCTGAGGTGTAGCTGTATGAACATGGGCACGCCTCTGGGGTGGCTCTGAGCCTCACCTGGAGAAGCATGCTGGTGACCTTCCTCCAGGCAGGACTGTGCGAGGCCCACAGGTCTTGTCCCCAGAGGTGGAGCCCTCCCTACCCTGTAAATGCAAAGCACAGTGATGATGACAGTCAATCATTATTCATGATCATCATTTTTATTCAAACGTTGGGGGACTGATGGTATTGTTTTATTAGTAGCCATTGTAGAAAAACACTAGCCCTGAAAGGAAGTTTTGCCTCTGGCCTGATATCAGGAAGCCCCGCAGCGCAGCAGACAGAAGGCATTGGACCCTCTAGCAGTGCCCAGTGCACCCAGCTGAAGATTAGGAGGATCCTCTTTGAAGAAAGAGGGCAAATCTTTGCTGAGTTCTGACCAAATTTGTGTCAGCTTAGTTTTCCTCCCTCTGGTGCCTTCCCCACCAGATCAGAGGCTGGTATAAAACTTTTTGACAGCTGGCAACCTCAAGCCTGGGTCATCAGATAAGCCAAAACAACAGCCTCATCTGTGGTGGAGACCCCCAGCAGCTGGTGGAGGCTTCCTGAAAGTAGGGGAGGGGCAGGTGCTTTTCTTATTCTCTTTGGTCTGTGTCCCAAGCCCTGCTCTTGCTCAGGGAGGTAATTGTCCATCACATTTACACACCATTGCATTTTGATAATCAGGATGACTGGCTCTCTCTCCCCCCGTCCACATTATAAATATTGCTATTAATAATCAGCTTTCAATAAAAACTGTAGCTATGTGCCAGGCATGGTTCCCAGCACTCTATATACAGTGACTCATGGAGTCCTCACAACTCCGTTCTCAAGTGGGAATTCTTGTTCTTGTTGTAAAAAGGAGAAAACTGAGCTGGCTCACAGAAGCAATTTGCCCAGAGTGCCAGAGTAAGTAAATGGTAGAGCATGGGATTCAGGCTGATCGATTCCAACTACCAAACCCATGTTCTAAGCTGCTACCCCAGAGGGCACTCTGTCTCAGCCTTTAAAAGTTCATTGCTGTTATAAGAGAAAAATAAACGTTCACCTCTGTTTAAAAAAAAAAAAAAAAAAGGATAACAGGTCCAAAATGGAGTCTCCTGTGCTAAGCCCACATCACCAAACCAAAACTTAATACCTAACCTAATTGCAGTTTCAGCCTTCACCAGAAAAGTGCTTAGTCAGTCAGTCTGGAATTTCCTGGTCCGCTCAAGTGAGCTAATTCACCTGATAGACCCCTTCTGTCCCCCAAAGAAAGATGAAGTCATTCACTCTTTCCCTGTCCCTGCCCCCTCCTGCTTATACAAGTCTTCCAACTTATACAGCTCCTTGGAGCTCCTTTCTAATTTGATCTTAAAATTTACAAAGTTGGGGGTGCCTGGGTGGCTCAGTCAGTTAACCATCGAACTTCAGCTCAAATCATCATCTCATGGTTCATGAGTTCGAGCCCTGTGCCAGGATTTGTGCTGACAGATTCTGTGTCTCCCTCTCTCTCTGACTCTCCTCCACTCATGCTCGCTCGCGCTCTCTCTCTCAAAAAATAAACATTAAAAAAAAAATTTATAAAATTTACTCAATTGAATTTTGCTTTTTAACACCTCAAATCACTAAGCTCAAATCACTAAACACTCATCCAAGAACGGTGTTGGCATCTTCCCCCAGCATGTGAAGAGAAAGGTCAAGATCATTCTCAAGTTCTTTGCCCTGACCACAGACTCTTAAAGTCTTTTCTGTGGGATGAGTGCTGGATCTCTGGAAACCACCGGGCCCTCCTTGTGGTTTGGAAAAGCTGACCATCTGTGGGGATGCACAGCCATACAAGCAATTACCACCTCTTTACCTCAGTTTCCCCACTGGATCTCGACAACCCAGGGGGTGGCATTTAGCCAACAGATATGTTTTACGTAGTGGTAGGTGGTGATTTGCGTTGTTCTTTGATAGTTTTAATTAGTCATCAGCATTTTAGAAGTCAGTCACTCTCCATGTGGATGGCCAGCCCTCTTAAATTCCCAAATGTGCCATCTGACTGGAACAGGTCCATCTGCCCCACCATCCCCAGACAGGGCTTGCCTGGTACTCATTTCCACCTCTCTCCCCGCTTTTCCCCAGCACTGCTGCACATATCAGCCCCTCATCATTCCGTTACCACTTCTGCTCTCCTCACACCAGCCTACTTTGCTCACTTAATGCCATGTGAGCTTGTAAGCTTGATGAGGACAGGGCCACACCTTATTCCCTTTGTATTTATAGTACCTAGAAGAATGCACTAACTAACTAATTCCCACTGGACCAGAAACTCTGAGTCCATGCAGAGAAAACAGAACATTCTGTTCTCACTCTTATGAACCACCCTAGATTTGGGACACTGAGATTCTGGTCAGTTTATTGACATTCTGGTCAATAAAACCAGCATACCTTGAGGTAAGGCCACTATCTTATCTGTCAGGACCTTATAAAGAAAACCCACAGTGACCCAAGACTATAGTTTCAAAAGAGGGAGCTCTTTCTAAACAGCTCTTTCTCTGTCATGCTAAAGCTTTGTTTTTTCTAAGAGCAATAGCCTTCAGGTTTCCGGAAAACCTAAATAAAATGACATATCACACTAAAATGTGAGGTCAAGAAAAAAAGTTAACTAGTCAGAAATAGCCAAAAGTAGTAAACAAAATCCTTAAACATTTATGTTTCTGATGAACCCTCAGTTTTATTTTGTGTTGTCCTTTAGTTAATTCTCACTAGAACCCAACTACATCAGGAAACAAATGGGAAAATGCAGGGTTAGGACTTGCACACCATTTTTCCCCTGAGGCCGATTCGGTGCACTGTTGGTCTGCTGCTTGCAGAAGCCTTCAAACAAAGGAAAACAATTGAAGGAAGACACCCAGAAGAGTTCCAGCATCATCAGCCAGTGGCAACCAGTTAGAAGTGTCTCACCTGTCCAAAAGGCTCTTCAGTGACTGAACTCCCTGACTGCACTTTCCCACAGCAAAGTGTGAAAACAAATTGCTGAGCCAAGGGAAACATTGCGCATGGTCCTGGCCACAGTACATTCTAGAGCCAAACACCTAAAGAGAAGTGACTGCCATTAACGTGCCAGTAGGCTGCGATGTGACTAAGGATGTTTCCCACCCCCCCGCCCCCGACCCCACCAAGAGTTTGGTGCTTGAGTGACTTTATGTAGATCTTGTATCATCTCACCAACTAGCAGATGATGGGGTGTAGGGGTTAAGAAGTTATTACATTTGGGCACTTGGCTGGCTCTGTCCATAGTGCATGTGACTCTTGATCTCAGGGTCCTAAGTGCAAGCCTCACGTTGGGTGTAGA